CGCCACTGGTATATATGAGTGCCTGATGTGATGTGTATATGCGCGAGCAAGTGGGAAAATCGTGACATTTTTTGAATGTAAAATTTTTTTCAATTTTTTGGCATCCGAAACTTCCAAAATTTGGATTTCAGATGAGATGCACCTGAGCTAGTGCAAATGCAAAAAAGCCATTTTGTAAAAGGCGCTTTGATCTATCAAATGGTATCCTGGAAACCAATAGAGATAGGAAGTGTAAGGCTTTTGCGATCAATATTCAAAATTGAAAAGACTCATGGGACAACCTAATAGTCAGTATCTAAGCAAGTGGAAGGAGTACAAAACCTATGGAGGTGAAGTGTGCCGCGAATCAATTTCTAGTTTTTCTTTTTAATTGATTGAAATCACATCGATCTTGTGCATTCCAGGCAATTACGGCGAGCACTCGGACATTAATGCTGACTTTTGGCTGTGCGCGGACCAAATTTTTGAATGGATCATAGCGGCCATAGATTACTTGGTTGGCGACCCACGGCGCCATATCGCAGGGAGAAGGCTCTAAATATTTCATCGGAACATCCAGGGTTTAGAAAAAAAAACACGGACAAACCCCGGGTCTCACTGGACGCATTGCATATTGAGTTTTGGAGCGAGCCTAAACTGAGTTTCTGCATTGGACAAACACCTGCCTCTATCGGGCACCTCTCATATTTTACCTCGATAAAGCCAAGGACCTTATAGGCAGTGTCCAGACAAATTTGGGCGCATTGGTTTTTTGCTTGGAAATTAATGAGGGGGTCCTAGCTAAGATGCTGCTCAAGCGGCAGCGCAATTGATGCATCCACGGGTGGGAAATCCGTCCCCGAGCACTCCGCGCTGCTCCGTGACCTAACTCGCGAGCGAGTTGAGATGGGTCCCAGCGCGGAAGTAATGTTAATGTGAGCGAACCAAGTTACGGTCACGCGCAGGCGCTGAGGGTTAAGGACGAATTTCTCAGCCGTGAAGGAGTTACTAGCCCTGCCCCTTGGGTAACGACTTAGTTGGGACCCTCATACCAGTTTTTAGGCGAAAAACCCATACGCCCAGATTTGCCTGGACTTGCCTTTGATGAACACCACGCTATTTTTCGAATCCATTTGGGAGTTTGTGATTGACGAATATCTCTACTGCCTGATTGCACGTTTTTGAGCAGTTCATTCACGTTATCATCCGCTCTATACAACCGCCGTCTCGTTCTATTTAATTTGCGACTTTACTCTTTCATTTTTTGGTTTGAACAGTGAAATATTTATCTTTGTCAAAACTCGTTCACTATCGAAGCCTTTTTTAGTTACTGATGTGTTTCGGGTACGTCTCATTGCTTGTTTTGTTTGATCAGTCTAGGGGAAGGAACTGCACCTTCTATTATTTGGCATCTTCTAATCAGCAAACGTGAGCGCTGGATTTCGGTGTTGAAGACATCATAGAAGGAAATGTTCTATGTGATAGGTACTTTATACGATTGTGTGACAGGAAAATACTGATTATGGAGAAGGCAGCAGCTCTTATCTGCAGAAAACGCCAGGATAGAACATTTAACAACGCGTTTATGAAGTAAGCGAAGTGTTCAGTAATTCATGAAGCTGCTGACTTGTTTTTAGAAATTCTTGCAATGAGATGCAGCATATCAGTCAAAGCCAAATTTCTACGATTTGGACAATGAATGGGAGATCTAGTGGAGCTATAACTATAATGCACTCCCATTATTAGTAAAACTCCACTTTTTATGTTCAACGCTGTCAATGATTCATATTTCAAATGGTTTTTGAATGAGACCAATTGAGTAACGCACTTACGTCTTGCGAGAACCGTTGAATTTACTGATTGTGAGAAGACACAGACGACTATGAAACAACAACGACAAATCTCGATCTTAGTTAGTGCGATAATATATTTTGAAGGATCCGCCTTCAAGCAGTGCACACTGAGAACTTTGGCTACTAAATGGCAGCCAAGGAAGATAGATGTAAACTTCCAAAAATTGAGCGTCCTTTACAGACATACGTTCATGAGATTACTTCTTTGTGCATTTTGAAGGAGTAATCAAAATTTTCAGATCACCGATCACGACAAGCAATTTGAACGTACTCAATGATAATGAAACGGCGCAGTGGACGGGAAGAGAAGCTATCACATCTGCCGAAGCATGTCGAAAGAATTGATGCGTAAATCTCTCTGCTATGAGTTCAATTTATTTATTCTAGGTGCTGGCAAAGAGAACGTGCCAGGGTTAGGGCGAGCTAAGGATGAGACAAAAGATATTGAAGAGTCCGCTTACAGTGGTCTCGGTTCTACTAAGCGAGAAGGAAGACAAGCACTCGAAAAGCTTCGCGCGCAGAGGAGCAACTGGTGTGGAACCTCTTGTTTGCAGCATCACATAAAGCATTGTCGGTTGCATCATATGTCATTTTCTCCGAGCTGAAGTCTTCTCATTTAGGCGTGACATAAGGTCATAGACATCTGGTACAAATTCGGGGTGGATTCCAGAAAGTAAATTCAAGTATGCAGCAGGTCAATAATAATGTATCATCTTTAAAAGAAGAGCAAAAAAGCAACGATGGATGGTTGCGGCAAATCAACGTCTCTTGAACTGTGAAGATGTGATCTTCTTTTTGTGTGTGATTCAACTGAAAACGACATGTTTAAAATATTCAATCTATATATGGCTTTCTTTAATTGTCAATTTGTTGTGCCCGTGAATTGTTTCTGTTAACTTAGCAAATAAAGGTGTTCTTTTTTCGAATTTTCTGCCACTGCCCAAGAGAATGTAAACTGCCACTGTCAGCGAACATGCAAAATAAGAGCGCACCGGGCGCGTTTCGGGCCCCGCCAGCACATATAGGTCGCTTGGTCGGTAGTTCCCAAGTGCTTGTCGGAGCATCCGCGCGTATCGTTCCAGCGCGTATAGGGCTATTCGCGAGCATTGGCGACCTCGGGACGGACACGGGAGGTCAGTGGGTGTTCACCATAAATTTTGAGTGAATATGTATGCCCCCACTAATAATAAAGCACCAATAAGTATGCCCCCACTTTATAATAAAGCATGTGAAATTTTATGTCGTTTGTGGAAGATGGAGGTCTGGGTTGAGTGTCTAAATCTTTGTTTTTGATTTTTTGCCTGTAATTCCAAAAGAAGGATGATTACGCTATGCTACTACAATCTCTGGCTCGCTCCTCTATCCGGTATACAGCATGCCTTGAGGAGGCTCGGGGAATTTGGTGTTGGTATATCAGTCACTCAGATGAATTCGGTTATGATGACCACATCAGCTTACCTCCAAGATTTGAACATTCTTCGAACTCTTTGTATTTTTACCAGTTCTATCATAGTGTCCTTGGAAGAGCCTTAGCGCCGGTTGATATAATCGCGATATTGATCTTATAATAAGGCTGAATGCATGTTTGTATGTTTGTATGTCTGTTCACTTTCTACATGCCAATCTAGCTATTCCCGCTGTGTTAATAATCAGCATACACACTCACCCCCTGTGCCACTCAGCCCGCAGGTCAAACTTCGCAAAAGTCGATAAAATCGATATCGATCAATGACGAAAAGTAGCCTACGACACCCGCCCCGAAGTGTATTTGTGCCAACTTTGGTCCGGATCAGTTTAGAAATAAAAATTCTATTCAGAACATACGTAAATGGAAAGGTTGTACAGGGACAGAGATAAGACCCTTATCATAGTGTTCTGACAGGGCCGGGCGGGGCCGCGTAAGCCAGCTAGTATGCAATATAATCACGATCTCCTTAGTTGCTTTGTCCTCGAGCCAACCCCGAGAACGGGCATTGTTGCTCTCTCTTATCGGCGCACAAGCTACTTGCTTGTGCATCAAAGCACCAATTATTTGTCAGTCCACTGAACAACATCGCAGCCACACATGGGATGTTGCAGGAGGAATCAAAGGATTCGCCTCCTGTATCTTCAGGAGATAACTAAGGATACAACACTGCGGAAACTTTGGCAAGCATCCAGGATAACTTAGAGGAAAAAGATAAAGAGTCATCAGGGAATAAATCCTTATCACTTCGTTAGGAAGACTGTTTGAGGGATGAAAGATTCACAATCAGTACCAAAAAGCGCATTAGAGAATTTTTAATTTGAATATTATTATTTCTACTAAGGAACTATCTATTATTCTCGATACGAGAATACTACTTGAAGTGCAATTTTTTGAGTAACAGATACAAAATTCTTTTCACTATCTCTTCTTCATTTTTGACAGTGAGGGCAATCTCATGAGTTGAGTCAATCAAGGCATCGTATTATGGTACATTGCATAATTTGGAGCATTTTAATCATCAAAAATCAATCTAAATTTAGTTCGTTACCAAGCACTGTAACAAACAGCATACGCGTGGGCACTATACGAAGGGATTTGAAAGCCTCAAGATAGTACTGGAAAAAATTTCAGTGCTTTTGAAAATCTTCAGTGAATTTAGAAAAAATTTTCCGAAACTTGAGTAACTTATCGTTGTGACTAAAATTTAAATTTTCAAATCCTCAATACTGTCAGTCCGAAGGTTGTAATTTCTGTGTACAACTCTTTTAGTGAGACCTGGTTTATCAATGCATAAAATGCATCCTCTAATGTCGACTTCGAATTTGTCCTAATTATCCCTCTGGTATATTTCCAAGCAAAGTGATAAGAATTTAATCTCATTCAGCTTTCTCGAACTCTTTCGCCAGCTTTTTTTGGACCCTTGCCAAACTTTTCCCGCAGTGCTCGCGCTCTTGATTGTCTCATTTGGATGCAGGCGGCAAGGCCTTGATTCCTCCTATACCGTTTCCGCAGGTCAGAAGTGCTTGGTAGGCACATCAGTCAGGTACGAGGGTATAACTCAGGTGCAAAAGTTCCTTTCCCTGACAGGTAGGTTTTGGTCTAGATGCTCCCACATCTTCTCTATGCACTAAAAGTAAAAAAGTTGAACTTTATAAAATTGTCTTTTCCACTTTTTCTTGCAATCCGATAAACCTTGAATGGGGAACAACGTTTATGCATTTCGAGATTTTACGAATGCCAGGACAAAATTGTTGTTGTAATTCACAGTCGCCGATTCGATTCACACTCTCGTAATCTTCCTTTATATAAAATCGAAGAATGTCACAAACAGTATGGGCGTTACTCGTCCTTAGTCTTGCAGCATCTCCTGTTTGATACCTAGTGCTGCCATCGTGCCACAAATCATCAAGAGAACCCGTTGGTTTTTCTGAAAACTGGCACACTACCAGAAAACGCCGTCCACATAAATCAAAACTCACTTTGATTGCCCATATCAAACCAAGAATACGATTGAGTCGAGCTGCGTAGTTGGCCATTTTGAGATCATAGGTGTAATGCTCGTGTAGTTCGTCTGATATTTGGTCTAATACCTCTTCAGCTGTATTTCTAGTCGATTCCAGGACGTCTTGTTCTAAAAGTATTTCCTCTTTTAGAACGATGCTGGCGCTAGATCCTTAAGTTCTAAACAAGTATTTGAATCACGCCGCTGTTGTTCAAATCCTATGAAAAATGTAATCTGATTATAAACTACTGAATAGATTGCCTTTTTACCTTCGACATGCCATACAAGAGCGTTGAAAACATATGAAATCTCATGAGGATCCAAGTTAAGATCGAGCAAAGGCTCAACGACATCTTCCGTCACACGACTAACATCTTCTTCGGCCACGCTGAAAACGCTGCTCCGTCTTAAGATTTTGAGTCTTGAATTAAACTCAGTGACTGGACTGCGAGAAACCTGAGATATTCAATCGTAGGATGCAAATTGAGCAGGCCCTATATTCGTCAAGGGGTACAGCACTCTTTGATCAAAAATGCACCAAATACGATTTTCGGCAATATTGCTACGACTGGCATCGCCCGTCGTTAACATTTGCGACGGCAGTCGCGTGTCAAATGCTGGCGAATGCACTTTACATGGAGATTAACTAAAAAGTTGCCGTATTTTCCAACCGATAAGTATCAAACATGCTGTCGCCAATACTAGCGATCTTCGGTCGCTACTAATGCCACTGGCGACACAGTCACCGATATTGGCAACTGACAATTGCCAATTTCAGTGAATACACATTGAATATGTGTTGATCAACGAAATTATGTGTGCCAGCGATTTGACAGCTATCTAAAACACGGCCGCCAATACTGACGACTGGCAATCGCCGTTCAGTAATGGCGGGGGAGTGCCATACTCTTGAGAAGTACAGCGCCTGCTTTGAGAAGACAAATGTTAACTGAAAATGGGAAATGCCGCATTTTTGCGAAAAAAAATCGACAAAACAATCATTTCATGCAAGCTCCATCTACATGCAAAGGTTTGTGGGGCCGTTAACTTCGTGTTTCACAGGGAAGGATCGCAAATCGCAGTGACGATCTGGAGCGAAATGCAAATCACTATATGCGCCTTGTTGAGCTGAATTCAAATCTAACTTTCGTATCTGCTGAGAGATTCTCTGGAAGAAATTATGAGCGTTTGAAAGTCGAAATGTGGCAAACATAAAGTGACACTCCTTCAAGAATTAGTCGTTAAAAAGCATCGATGTAATTGTTTAACATTTTTGTAGCCAGCACACTGAACCTAAAATTATGCACTCCTAAGCTGGATAATGCACGTCATGCATTGGAACTTTAATAACTTCACACTATTAACGGCTTATAATTCCAGAGAATCTCTAACAAATAGGAAAATTGATTTGGAAGTAGCTCATCGCATCCAAATATATCCGTTTCATTCCAGTTCGTCACTACGATTTGGGATCCTTCCCTTGTCAGAAGCTCTAAGAATTGGAGGAAGTTTGCCAAAAAGCACTAAGGTATTTCTTCTCTCAAGATCTCTATAACCTTATTGATGATTACATCAATCTTTCAAATACAATCAAATGTGGAGCCGCCCCAAAAAAACTTTCATCTGTAGTGAGTCCTGTTACCGTCAAGATATAAAGTTCAACCTTCTCATCTCTCCTGGTCCATCAGCAGTGGACTGGAAGTCTGATCGGATGCTGTCCAGTTTGGTAGCTGAACCTCTTCTTACAAATGCCGTGATCTGATGAGCATAAATTCAGCAATAGTTTCATTAAACTACTCTTTCCTTTTATAACCGCCCTTTATGCTTTGCTATCACATGGAGTGCAAAAAGAAATTTTGAGATTGCAAAACCAATCTCAAGATCCAAGGGTGAAAATTCAATGCACTGAAAATTATGCCTAGTTATTACTAACGAGCTTTCACCATACGAGAGCCTTTGTGGCTTTTGAATAATGAGGTCAGGTTGTGATCGGGCAACTAGATAAGTACAAAAATTATGCAGTACAGTTTCTTACATAAGTGGTCTGCACCCACCAAATCTATTATCTATGAAGTTGAGCACTATCTTAATCGCGTTCTGTTTTACTGTTGCTTTCCTAAAGGGTTGAGCTCTTTTCTATAGTCGACAAAATGTTTGACGGACAGTTCACTTATGTGTCTTCGACTTTCTAGACTCTGAAGAGGACGAGTTTGCGGAAACGTCAGTCCGTATATTGTGGGATAAATATCTGTACCGATCTCGGACGCTGCTAAGAAATCAACCAGAAGAGAATTATACCGCTCATCACCTGCACTTCAAAAGTTTTCGATTTACGCATGTAAAAAATAATCGAATTCAATGGACATCTGAGAGCAAAGAATGAAAACGTTGCACTTTTCAATATACAACTTACCACATACTATGCAGACATAATCCGTAAATACGGTTTCACTACAGCTGTATTCCCAATGGAGGAGTGACTATGTCGCCGATGGGCTCGATCATTACGGGCAGTAATAGAGACTATAGTGTTCTGATAGAGAAGGAAGTTTGATCGAGGTACTTTTGAGATGGGATGCACAACATCTTGGTGAAGATTTGTAGGTGCAGAAAATGAATGAGAAATACAAAATTATTTGTTGAAATTTTTCAACTCAAACAAGGCATTCGCGATTGAGGTCATATTGAATTAAAAATATATCAGTTGCACGGAGTGCACTGACAGTCATCGCTGCATTTGAGATCTAGGAAAAAGAGTACAAGGGAATTTACTCGAATGGCGAAGTTCAGATTTTTGCTCTGCTAAATGCCCATAATTGCTCGTCCAGAAAAGCTCAGCAGTCAAGGAAGGCAGATTTGAAATTAGCTTTTTCACGAAGAACGATTGCTTCACCCGTTGGGAATTATTTTTCAGCGGTTACAAGCTGAGAGGAGGTGCTTAGAGGCAACGCTCAGACAAATCTGGACCCATGCAATTGCAGGTGGGAACTGATTGCGACCTAATTAATTGCTCATACGGCAACGCAGATGGTGCAGTCGCGGCTGAAATATTCGTTCACAAAACAGCTCCGATACCTTACTTGGCGGACGACTTGCATTGAGTTGCTTACTATTGTTAGGGATCTACCACCTTCGTAATGGGTCTACGCGCAAAAACCTGCAAGTGATGCAAATCGTCCGCTACACAGTACTGGAAACAGGTGTCTGGACGCTGCCTTTGAGGTTTGTTGAAAAGAAAAAAAATTAGATGGAAGTTATGTTGTAGATATCAAATACAGGGTGATCGGTAAGAATGGGCGTCATAATACATAATATATCTTTTCCTGAAACACTCTATCATGGCGGCCAAGATGCCTGTAGCTTATGGACAGTCTCAATATCAAGATAAGTAAAAATCACGCGAATTGAAGTCTTCTGATGCAAACGGGACTCCAGAGTCTGCTTCCTTTGAATGACGCTGCGATGCGTTCAGGCAATACCATGCTCATGGTACCGTTATTTTGGAGAGAAGAATTTTTGCTGTTGCAGCATGGTGTTATTCCTCGATCTGTGCTCTACAGAACCTCAGGTTTTAGAGTCTATTCGATTAGTAATCAAAGACTCATTGTGAATTCGTGGAAATAATCTGATTAGTAATCGGATTATTTCCACGAATTAGTAATTCGCAATGAGTACTTTCTTCACATAGCATTTTTTGGTGCATCAATTTCATAATACGCTCCTGAAGGCTGTATGCATGTGCAGGAACCTAGTCTTATAGGAGTAACACATTAAGATACCTCTGTTTTTTGCATGTCAAAATAACTTTACAGAACTCCGTTTTTATCAAACGAAAAATATGACGTCCATACTTTTCGGCCACCCTGTACAAACAAGAAAAAGTTATGTCAGAGAGATCAAAGATTTATGTGGGGGAAAGGGAAAATTATGACTCTGTTTTTTCTGGGCCATCTTAGGGTCAAGCCAAAGCGTATTGCTTTTTCAAATAGATGCAACGCCGCTGCGCTGGGCACGCAACCAACTTTTGCACCGGCACACTATTGCGGCCATCACAACTCAAACCTTATTGAGACCAAGTGCACGGTTTCATATCACTGCACCGATGTAAGCGTTGGTGAGTGCCCAGGGTGCGCGGCGTAAGCTAAAATGCACGTCGTCAGCGTACGTCGCAAAGTCTGGCCCAATTCATAGGCGGCTAACCAGTGGCCACACGCCACGAACACGGAAAAAAGTTTGCCACACTTTTGCTTACACTTTACCGAAATTTTTTGAATATTGTTGCAATACCTTCGCGCATACACTGCAAACGTGGTGTAGATATGTGCATATCATCGCGTTTTCCTGGTAAGGAATATACATGTATTGGTATTTTAAACAACAAAAAGCATTAAAAACATATTTTGAGGTATTTGATCAGGCTTTGTTATAGAGTATGATAAAATTTCGGTTTTCATTATATGTTCTTGTCAGTTTTCAGTAGTGCAAAAACCTCTCTAAGCCAACATACAATCAAATCTGTAGCGTCGCCACATAATTTATCCCTTGATTCAAGTGGTTTTGCTTACAATAGACAAGTAGAGACGAAACGGCTCTAAACCTGGTAATGACCGCTGAAATGACAACCACTGACAGAACAATGGCCTGAAATGGCTGCGCCACTAATTTCACAGTTTGGCTTTGTTTGAAATGGGATTCTTGATGACAGAAAACCTAACAATTCGCACATTCAAACGGTCGTAACCAGGTTCAAGTTTGGGGTGTGGCACGCCACACCTGGGGGTCGTTTTGAGAGGTAAAGGGGGGGGGGGAAGGAGGGAGTCATTATCGAGGTGATACTGATGTTAGCGATGATAAATACTCGTTAATAATGTCAGATAAGCCCTTATACAAATCACTAGCATACTGGTGTTTCGGCCTACCATCGTGTTACAGTAAGCATAATAAAAGAGCCCTAGAAGCACAAGAGCATCATTTCTGTAATTACCGTCCAAATAACCCTTGTGGGCCAAGTTTCAGCAAATTCTGAGGTTTTAAATATTGGGTAAACTAAGTGAGATGGTCATTTTCGAAGATATTGACTTTTCGAAGGTGAGTGAACTACCTTCTATGCACTTAATAAAAAGTACTACTACCTTTTTGCTCGCATTAAGAATCCCACTTTAATTACCTATAAACTATGGAACTAAGAACAAGCCAAGATCTTGTTTGTCCCCTTTTTCGCTTTCAACATCTTAAACTACGAACAAATCAGGAGAATTTGAGGGAAAATTATGTACAGATCGATGGCCAAAACATCGTAATTTGGAAAAGTAATTAGAGCTGATTTCGTCTTCTTTCGTTTGAGTAATGGTTACTGGAAGCACAACCACTGTAAGCGAACAATGGGACAAACGAGATTCTGGCTGGCTCCTAATTCCACAGTTAAAGTTTATTTGGAAACGGATTTGTGGTATGGGCAAATAGGGAGTAGCGCTTTGTAATGAGTACAAAGAGAAGTGGCTAATTCACTTCTGAATCAAAATTAGCCTTGTTTGAAAACGACCACTCCACTTGGGTGGCTCAAAATTGGGAACCCTCAGAAACAAAACTCGACTTAAAACCGCAAAATAAAGGCCAGTAGGAGGTATTCGACATGATAATCAAGAATTTGACTAATAGGGTTCCTTCATACTACGCCGCAGGACGCGGCGTGCTGCGGCGCGCGCCGCTGAAGTCGCAGTGAAGATATACGCTCACGGGAGCACAGCTTCGCCGGTTATGGATGCACATCTATATTTGCTGCACGTTCGTTCTCCGAGAGGTTCCTTCACAGCGGGCGAGCTTATATTTTCACTGTGACTGCAACGGCGCACGCCGCAGGACGCGCCGTGCTGCTGCGTCTGCCGCGTGCTGCGGCTGCCGCGTGCTGCGGCAGGCTGCTGCCTCCAGCGGCGCGCCGCGTGCTGCGGCGTAGTATGAAGGAGCCCATAATGTTTGGTAGAGCCTTTATATCGTGCCTAGGTTGGCAAATAATGGCGGGGGGAGGGAGGGGGGGGGAGGTAATTAAGAAAGAACTTAGGAGAGGTATCGTATGGCGGCTGTGCCCATACCTCTTGCTCGACCCTGCTCGTAAATCCTTGCATATATTTATTCGGCAGATTATAATGGTATATTTGAAATCAGCGCAGGATGACATATAACTTGTTTGGAATGGCTGAGTCAAGTCCTAATCACTTCCTGCAGTCTTCGTGGCTATTTGACATGCTACTTACGAAAGTAGTACTAAGTGAACCCGGTTGGGCCTCTTTTTTATGCTGACTATACAGAGTGTCCCAAAAAGATGTGCACACTGTTTGATCTTTAATAACTCTCTTGCTTCCAGGCTTTTGCCGAGTTCAAGGTACCGCTCTATAAAGCGAGGTTCAACTTAGATTTGCAGTGTGGAGCAAATCACCAATCACTTTTCATTACTGTAGGATTACGGTATGAACTTCCAACATACAGCGTCACTGTGGAATAGGCCTTGTGATAAAATAATTTCAAAAAAAAATCTGAAAATCTGTATATTAAGGTTTTCAGGCGTGCTGATTTCAGTACATAACTTTTCATCAATTTTTCGAACTTTCTTGTTCGCGTATTCACATTTTTGAGGGACATTGGGGAATAGTTTTTACTCTAAATCTGAAATAACTTATGAAAGAAGCACTATACTAAAGTGCAAACTTCATATTTAGAATCAGTACCTACAATTAGCCCAGATTGAGAGTTTCTGGCTTGTT